GCGCCTCCTGTGGCGGAGCGGAGAGCCGGCTGGGAGCCTCTCCTCCCGCCTCTCCTCCCTCCTCCTCCGCGCCCCTCCCGCGCACCTCTGAGCCGCGCAGCCTCGCGCTAACCCTAACCCTAACCCTAACCCTGACCCTGACCCTAACCCTAACCTCTGAGCCGCGCAGCCTCGCGCTCAGCCGCTGCTTACTGATGACGCACACCACGTCGCGCGCGCGCGTCGCCGCCGGCACAGGCACCTGCGGCGCGGGCGGTGCCGGGGACGTCTGCCCTGTCTGCCGGGGATGGCGGACCGACGGCGTCCGCAGCGGTCCGCACGTGGAGTGAGACGTCGTGCAGCGTCTGCTCCCAGCTGTACCGTGCGGTGTGGCCTCCGTTGTAGGGAGCCTCCGGCGGCCGGGCCAGCGGTCCGGGCGGCACCGTCGCCGTGCCTGCGCTCGTGGGCGCGGGCCCGGACGCGGCGGCCAGCTGCGCCTCCTCGCTGGCAGAGTCCGGAGGCGGCAGAGGAGCGGCGTCTGCCGGGGCGTCGGCCGGTGTGGCAGGGCATGGCTCAGGCGGCGAGCTGCTCGACGCCGCCGCCGCCGCCGGCGGCAGCCTCTCGCCGTCCGCCGCCGCGCCCGCCGCGCTCCTCTCCTGCCGCGCCATGGCCGACGCAGCCTCGTACTTGCGAAAGGCGCGCAGCACGAGCTTCTCAGCGACACCGTCGTGAAAGCCCATGTTCTCGCCTGTCGCAAGTGCGTCCAGAGCGCAGCGTCACAGGTGGTGCTCCGTGCGCGGCAGAGGCGTAAAGCTGCGAGCCTTCCGCCATGATGTGAAAGAAGTCGGTCTTGCGGTAGAGGAAAGAGAAGAAGGTGTCGAGGAGCGGCGCGATGCCGCCGCACTGGCCAGCCACGTTCAGGAGGACCTCGTCGTATTTGGTGTCGTGCTGCATCGATGCCTGCGATAGAAAGAGTTGCTTGCAGTGGACGCACGGATCGAGCTGCGTGTGGCGCGTTGTCTGCTTGTCAGTGAGCGCTTCGCAGCCGTCGCGTTCAGATAATGAAAAAGAATTAGCATGCGCTGCGCCTGCCACTCAGGCCTCGGCATCCCTGTGTGGTGGCGGCGTGCCGTTCTCCCATCCCTCCCTTGGGTTGTGTGTTTTCTTTCTTTCTTTAGGCCTCGGCATCGCCCGCCCTGACCCTGTGTGCGCAATGAAAAGGGGAGGAGGCTGCTGCCGAACGCAACCTCTTCCCGCTCTCCGGTAGTTGCATGCACATGAAACAGGCACATGCGTACTGTCTCACACGACATCGAGGTTCAAGCCTCCTCCCTCTCCACTGTGTTCGCCGCCGCGGCCGCAGCGCGCGTAGCCTCCGCCGCCCGCGCCGATGCCAGCCCACCACTCCTCCTCCGCACTGATGCCGTAGTCCGCCGCGCAAAAGTCCCCTCCTCCGCCGTAGATGTCGCCGCCGTTGTGCACCGAGAGGTCGAGCTTGTGCCCCGCCGCTGCCTGCTGCTGTCGGAAGGCCTGCACCGGCATGCAGCGGAGGGGAGGCCTCGGTGCGAGCTGTGTGGAGGCGATGGGGGCGTCTTGGGTGTGCCTGCGAGATGGAGACTAGCCGCATGAGGCGGAAGGCGACGCGGCCAAACACCAAGGCCTCCGCCAGCACCATCTCTGCCGGCGTCTCGAGGCCGAGCAGCAGCAGCGCCGAGGTGAGCAGCGAGATGCCCGCGACGGCCATGTCGGCCCAATTCGAGCGATGCGCGAAGAAAGCGCGCTGCTGCATGGCGCCGCGCACCACCAGCTCAGCGAGCAGTCCCACGGTGACGTAGGTCTCGACGACGGTGAAGAGCGGAGACACGGGGAGCCGGCGACCTGTGCTGCTGCTGTCTGAGAGGCCGAGGAGCAGGATCCAAACCACCTGCGGACGCGGGAGCGGATGCTGCTGGCATGCAGCGTCCTGGGCCGCACTGCGCGCGCCCTTGCGAGCCTCCACGAGCGCGGCGAGAATGACCGAGACGTAAAACGCCGTGTAAGCACGTGAGTACGAGATGCGCTTGGCGAGAGTCTGGACGTAGATGGTGTTGTCGAGCGTTTGGTACTTTTTATCCATCGGAAACTCTACGGCTTGGCGGAGCTCGTCGTGTGGTAGCGGAGATGGATTGCCGCGGCGGCGGACCCGGCGGGTGGGTTTTTTGGCCTCTGCGTTTTTTTTAAGTGGGTTGAATAAAGGAACAGGTCCCCGCCCGTACCGACACCGTGCGATCTTTCAGGGTTCTTTGTGGGTGTGGTCGGCGACTAGCCGGGATCGTCCTGAGGGCCCAACAGGAGAATCGTGCTTTCAGTGCACAGTGGGGTTGTTTGGTGTTGGGTTGGGTTGGTTGGGGGTTGGGTTGTTCCGCGTAAGGTTGGGTCGTCGGCGCGAAGGGTGAGGTCTCGACCGCCGCCGCTCACGCCAGCGGACGGCCACCATCGGTGTTTTTGGCTTCGCCACCGTTCAAAGCGTGCGCAATGCGCTCGCCGGCATCGAGCGAGCACGCCTGTCCGACGAGCGGCTTGCTGTGTGGACGCCTTCTTGTGGCTCTCGCCGAGAGCGTTTTGCGTCCCGGCGGGTGGGAGAATATGTGTCGTCTGATGTGTCACTGTGTGCGTCATATCAGTCTTGATAACAAGTACGGTCGATCCGTCAAAGCGATACACTCGTTCCTATCACCACGTGATTAGCGGTGGCGCGAGGTGACACCTACGCTCTCGCAATTTAGTTGTTTGAAAGTTTACCGTCAGTTTCTCGGTACCTCGGACGTCGGACTCGCTCGGAGTACACGGCTGTACGCCTACGGTGTACGGAGAGGGAGTGACCCTAATTCACCATTAGCATTACTTTAGCTAATTAGCTATACACGTTCTAGCTTCTAGTTCTACGGTACCACACCCAGCTCGCACGAGCGCCAACTCTCCGGCGCAGGCCGCGAAGAACCGAGTCCGCGGGCCGACGGTCGTGGTGGTGCTCGGCGACTAGCCGGGGTCGTCCTCGCAATCGGGGACCAGCACTAGCCGTCGTCGCTCCACGTTGTGTCCCGGTGCGCTGGGGGGATCGTGGGAGCCGCTCAGGACCATTCTAAAGGCGTGTTTTGAGGACCATTCTGAAGGCGTGTTTTGGTAGGGCTGAGTGGGGCCTCGAAAGCGCCCCCGGGGCCCTCTGCAGCTGTGACACGGGCGGGGTGTGCTCCGCGGAGTCGTATCAGACTTCATGCGTGATTGGTCCCACATCGGTCATTCATTCATCGCTTCTACCTCCGACACACTACCACCACCCTCCTCACACGTCCCCACCCATAAGCCAGGGATTTCGTGAAGCAGAAAATAATTTTATCAGAAAAGAATTTCACAATGTAACACAATCAAACTGAGCGCGGAGCAAGGACGCACGTTGCACAAGGACTCGGTCCGATGCTGGCCTGGGGCAAGCGCTTGGCCAGCGCTTCGCTGCCAGGCCCGTCACAGCCGGCATCGACAGCTGCGGACGAACCCGAATGCATCATTTGCCTCGAGCCTCTTTGCGGTCAGTCCACCACTCTCGGATGCGGCCACGATTTCCATGACGACTGCATTCGTCAATGGCTGAGTGAGACGTCGCACTGTCCGTGCTGCCGAAAATCGTGCGAGCATCCGACAAACGACGTGCTTGGCTCACGCGTGGACACCCCTGCCGAAACACCATCTGTACTGCCCTCGGCAGCTTTTGATGGAGCAACGGCTCGTACAATGATCCAGGCGGCCAGGCCATCACGGCCAGGCCCTGCCAACCAAAGCGGAATCGAAAGCGGAAGAGTTTACCAAGGCACCTCTCTCGGCCGGCAGTTTCGTGCACAGAACCAAGGCGTCCTCCAGAAGATGACTGCGGCACAAAGCATTGGGCGGCTGGCGGCTATCCAACAGCGACCAAGTCCAAGAACTACGAACTAGAAGATAACGACGGTCAGCCCAAGTCGCGACGGCCGACGCCCCGGTGCACGCGGCGCCGGCACGCGGCGAGGGTGCGGACAAAGACACGCTTGAGTGCAGGCGGGAATGCCCGAGATGTGCTGAGAGTGATAGTAGATCGTGTCCGCTGGTGCGGCGGATTTCCGGATTATCGACCCGTCGCAGAGCTCGCATCGGCCATCGCGCAGTCGCCACACGCCTCGCGACACCCGTTCTTGCCGTGGTCATCGGCTACTCGAAATTCGATCGTCGTGTAGCTCTCGTACACGCGTACAGTACGGCTTTACGTGAGGATTAGTGATTTACGTGTCGATGCTGACTCTCTCTGAGTATTGTTAAATATCCGCATTATATAGGGCGTAGATCGCGCGCGCGTGTGCCGTGTGACCGGCGTCAGTAGTCAGGAACGCGTCCCAGGTGTGCTCTGTGTGACCTGTGAGCTGTGTGATGTGAGTGATGTGTGAAAAAACACACTGTGTCTGTGAGCTGTGAGATGTCCGCCTGTACCCTGATGGTGAATGAACACGGACGAGCGAACGCGCGCACACTCGCGAATCTATAGGGACGACGAATCGTCGATACTCGAAATTCGATCGTCGTGTACGGCTTTAGCGTCACGTACGGCTTTACGGAGATCGGAGTACACCCACGGTACGTCGCGTCTCGCGATGGACGATGCTGACTCTGAGTATTGTTAAATATCCGCATATAGGGCAATCCCAGAGCAAACGAGAGTCAGAGCAGAGAGAGTGCGCGCACACCCCAAAACCAACACCCGCCGCGCCGCGCACGCAAGAAGGCGAACGACACACAGCCTGGCCCGCTGGTGCTCGCCGCGTGCTGTCCCCTGTCGGCCGCGTAGGCGCCGGGGCCAACCGCCGACGCCGAATCACACCTCTCACCTCACACATCATCTCTGCTGGCTCTAGAAGCCAATCGTCCGCCTTGCATCTTCTCGGCATCTCACACACAGCACCTGCGGGGCAACTGCTCGCCCCGAGCGTGCGCAGCGAACCCAAAGCGCCGAAGCGACATCAGTCAAGCAAATTGGTCGGCGGAGCTTGCCTGGCGGGCGGCTGCTCCTTAAGCTGCTGATGTCGACGAATCTCGTCGTTGGCGGCCACGCGCTCCTCGTACGAGAGCGAGGCGAAAGTGCGGCCCGACCGCGACTCCCACGCCCGCATCGCCGTCACGGACGCCTTTGTGCTCTCGACGCGTTTGCGTGGCTCTCCTCCCACCTAAAGGCGCAAGCACGGGTGAGGCGGGAGCAGGGGGCGGGTCCACCCTTAGCGACAGAGCAAGCTGCCTTCGCGTTGTGCTGCTTGAGGAGCGCGAGCAACTGCTCGTCGCTCTCGTCGCCGCCTCCTTGCGTCGATGCGGGCGCCGCCGCCCGCGTCGCCTCCCCCGCGGCGCAAAACTGGGCCGCGGCGGCCTGAGGCGCCTTGTGCTCGCGCAAACGCTGCTGCGCGGCTGCAATCCCCTGCTTGTTGACGCGCGCGTTGTGCTGCTGCAGCACCTGCAGCACGTCGCCCGACCTTGCGGCGCCTACAGGCGCGACGCGCAAGCGGGTGAGCAGACGGAGGCGGGGGAGGGCCATCGTAGACAAGCCTAGCGCCTCCGCCCCGGGCGCCCCGGGCGCCCTTCTGCGCACGCTCGCGCTCCCGCCTTGCGTCGCGCTCTCGCCGCCAAGCCTCGAGCTCCTCGCGCCGCGACGGCGCCGCCCGACCGCCGGCGGCAGCACCCGCCTCGCCGCCCGCGGCTGCCACGCTCGCCCCGCCGGCAGTCGGCGCTGCGAGCGGCTGCGCCGCCAGGAGAGACGCGGGCGCGGGCGCGCCGCCAGCACTCGTTGGCGTGCACGCCGAGGCGGGCGGCTGGTGTGGCCGGGGCAGCGCTGTCTTGCCAGGCGACCCGTCCGAGACAGGTGGCGCGCCGACCGGAGCTGTTTGCTCGGGCGGTGCGGCGGGCGGCGCTGGGCCTTCCTTGCGCGAGGCGCGCCGGAGAGGAGCTCGAGCCGCGGCCGGCGGGGCGGCAGGTGTCGCGGCGGCGGGAGGCGGGGCGGCGGGAGGCGGGGCGGGGGGCGGGACAGCAGCCTCCTCTTGCTTCTCCTCTTGCTCCTCCTCGAGCGCCGCTGCTGCCCCTTGCGGCGGCGGGGCGGCGCGCGTGCTGGCAGTGGGCGTCTGGTCGCAGAGGGAGCCGCCGGTGCTGCGCGGCCGACCGGTGCCTCCCGTGCCGCCGCCGGTCGCTCTTCCGCCTGTGCTGCTCCCGTTGGCGCGCCGTGCAAACGGCGTGGTCTTGCCGGCTGCACCTCCTCCCAGCGCCGCGGCAGCGTCTCCACTAAACTGCACCGTCTTGGCGGGAAGCGATGCCGCGTGGGCGGCGATGAGCGAGGCGAGCGGCAGGTTTGGCACCAGCACGGTCGACTGCAGCGCCTCGCCCGTCAGCGGGTTTGTGTTGTGCCGGCGAAACCAGCGCTCGATGGCGGCACGCTCGAACACCTGCCGCGGGGGAGGGTGGCGGGTCGCGCGATTGGCGGGTGGGCGGGGGCTCTGAGACCCAGCCCGCGCGCCTGTCCGTCGATCGTGCTCACCGGCTCGCGCATCAGCGAGCGGGTGATGGGGCACACAAACTCGGCGGGCGGCGGCACGCCCGGCGCGGCGGCGCAGTCGGCGGTGGAGACGCGCCGTAGCGAGGCGGAGACGGCGTCCAGCTCCGCCTCGAGCTGGGAGCGGCTTGCGCGCGACGCCTTCGTCCCACCCTCCCCTTCGACCTCCCCCTCCCCCTCGTCCACCTCCATGACCTCCTCGACCGCCCCCTCCCCGCCCGCGCAGCCTCCGACCGGCTCCGGCCCCGCCTCGCCGCGCGGAGACAAAGGGCCGCCGCTCTGAGGCGGCGCGGCGCCGCTACCACAGCCCGTGGCGCACTCGGAAGAAGGCGGCGACGGCGGTGGCTGCGGCTGGGTCGGCTGCGGCTGGGTCGGCTGCGGCTGGGTCGGGGGCGGTTGGGCCGGGGGCGTCGTGGCATAGCGGCCTCGCCCCTTAGATGCGGCAGAGGCAGAGGCGGGTCCCGCACGGTGCGCCGGCTTGGCGACGGCCGACTTGAGTGCACACGCCCCGGCGGGTCGACTGCCGCGGACGCGCTCTTTGGCGGCGAGCTGCGCCGCCTCCACCACCCCTGCGAGCGCGGGAGGGGTCAGCGCAGCGAGGGTGGCGAGGGGGAGGCTTCACGGACGGTGGGGCGGAGGGAAGCGCACTCTTGTTGTGCTGCTCGAGCTCCGCGAGCAGGTTCCGCGTCTCCAGGTCCCCCCTCTCGCCGCCGAGGCCGTGCTGCCCAGCCGCCGCCGGTGCCGCCGCCGCCGCGCCTCCTCCTCCCCTCTCGCGGCCGGAGGACCTGCCGCCGCATGGGCGCAGCCGAGAGCCTGCCGCCGCCGGGCTCTCGATGCGCCGCCCTCGCATCGCCCGCTCGGCCTGGCGCTCCTCCGGCGTCTGAAGCCCCGCCGCGCCTGTCGACCGCTTCGCCATGCTTCGCCCGGCGAGGCTGCTGCCACCCTTGCCGCACTCCATCGAGCGGCGCGCATGCCGCGGCGGCGGCGGCGGAGCCGCCCCGCGCACCGGCGACACGTGGGGGGCGCTGGCCGCCTCCACCCTCTCGGAGAGTGACATCGAGGGAGCTGGCGACCCCACGAGCAGCGGCCGCAGCGGCGCCGGCGGCCCAGCCTCATGCAGCGGGTGCTCGGCGTCAAAAAACGAGTCGTCCAGCCCGGCGAGCGATCCGGAGCCGGCCGCGTCGGCAGAGAGGTCGTAGTACTCCCTCGGAGCCTCCAGCGTCTCGAGTAGCTGGTCGAGGTCGTCCATCGCGGTCGCGGTGGCGCAGGAGGAGGATTGATTTTCGAAGAGCATTCGAAACGCAGCCAAAAAGAAATCTTGCAATGAAGTGCTCGTGCCGCCGCCCCTGCCACCCCTGTGTCAGTGTGCCTGTGGTAGGAGAGACTGCCAGCGACAAGCTGGAGGCAGGTCGCTAGACTGAGATGAGACCGCCAGTGGATGTGGGAGTCCACCGCGCACCGCGCTGCGAACCTGTCGTGTCCCTTGTCAGGCAGGAGCAGGAGAGCCCCACCTGTCCCCCTGATCGTTCTTCCAAAATCCTGCTCGTGCAGGTGGGGACCCTTTCCTCCTCCCATCCCTCGTTTGGCGTGTCTGTTTTCTTTCTTTCTTTTGTGCTCTCTTGCGTCCACCCATACCGCGCTGGTGTCCCGTCCGAGCCTGGCTGCTCTTCACCCTCACCGTCATCTGCTACAAGGGCTTCTTCATTGACGTCTCGAGCGATATCGGGGAGGCCGAGGAATCAGGTCTCGAGCAGGTCTCGCTCAGCGACACAATTTACGACGGCGTGTTCATCAAGCTCATCTCGACAAACATCTTTGCTGATTTCGTCAACTCGAACTTTGCGTCCATCATCTTTTTTGCGGTCGTCTTCGCGTTTGCAGTGCAGAAAGCAACGACGCACCTGCACCTGACAAACCAGACGACCGCGAGCCACGTCGTCGACCTCTTCCGCGAGCTGGAGCAGGCGGGTGGCGGGCATTCGAGTGGACAGTCACACATCGACGGGATCACCATCGCCGCCACCAGCACCAGGAGGCCCTCCTACCTCTCCTTACAGTTCGACCCCCCCTCGCAGGTTCTGCTCGAGATGATCAACTGGATCCTCACCATCACTCCCATCGCCGTCTTCTCCCTCGTTGCCAATGCCGTCGGGAAGCAAGATGATCCAGCTACTGCATTTGCGAACGTCGGCTTCCTCCTCGCCGCCACCGCGACGGGCTTTGCCATCCATTTTCTGCTCGTCTACTGCTTGCTCATTCTCGTGGTGACCAAGTCCAACCCCTTCTCGTACTACAAGCACCTCGTTCCCGCGCAGCTGATGGCGTTCGCTTCGGTCAGTCCGGCCATCGGCCCGAGTGTCGGCCATCAAGTCATCGACCGCGCCGCTGCCCTCTTTCCGCCGCAGGCCAGTTCGGCTGCCACGATCCCGGTGACCCTCAAGAGCGCCATCGCGTCGGGCCAGGTGGCGCCATTCATTGGTGGCTTCGTCATCCCGCTCGGAGCTACGCTGAACATGGACGGTGGAGGGATCTACTTTCCGCTGGCGACCATCTTCCTCGCCGTCACCTCCGGCTTGGAGGACCAGATCACCGTCGCCTCCTACGTCATGCTCGTCATCATCGCGACCATTGGCTCCGCCGGGACCGCACCCGTGCCATCGGCGCGCTGCCCCTTCCCCGCGCCTCGAGCCCTCCCGCTCGCACACCCCGCCTGAGATGGTCCACGGCGCGCCCGCTCCTCGCCGCACCCCGGCCGGCTCCCGCGCGTGGTCCCAGGCCAGCCTGGTCCTGATCATCACGGCGTACAATACAATCTTCAACACAACGGGCACGCCGGAGACCTTCTCCTTCATCCTCGCCATCGACTGGCTGCTCGACAGAGGCCGCACGATCCTCAACATCACGGGCGACGCCACGGTGGCGCGAATCGTATCGCACCTCATGGCATCGGAGGAGGACGCGGACGACGACAGCGCCGAGGCCGAGGTGAAGCGAACCTCCGCGGCGCGGTTCAGCAGGCTGACGAACCCGGAGGGGGCGTCGATGCGCAAGAGTAAGTCCCGCGGGGGGCAGGGCGGCCCCTCGAGTGGTGGGGAGATGCTTTGACGGCCCCCCGCTCCCGTTCTAGCTCCCGTTCGATCGTTCCCCTGTCCCCGATCGTCCTTCCAAGATCCTGCGGTCAGCCTCGTGGTGCAGGTGGGGACCTACCTGTCTGCTGTCTCCTGTACTTCTCCCATCCCATTGAAGCGTGTCCGTTACGTTTATTTTCTTTCTTTTCTTCTTTCTTTCTGTGCCACCATTCGCCTGCCGAGGGCTGCCGTCCGTGGTACTCCCCGTGTGGCAGGTGGCCAGTGCGCGTGCGCTCCAGTCCCCGCGGCGCGCGACTCCTCCCAGGATTCCTGGAGGCGGGGGATGGCTGAGCTGCTGACTTTCTGCAGATTTTTATTGTTTCTTTTGTTGAGTCGTTTCCAGTGCCTACCATTCCAAGAAAGAGGACGAGGCACAGAAAGATAGAAAAGAAAGAAAAGAACCGGATACGCCCACTCCAAGTGCTCCGGTATAGGTAGGTTGGTAGGTACTCGCACTCCAAGTGCCCAAAACAAGAGGTCAGGAGCAGCCGTGGCCGCGGCGGTGGTGGAGGAGGCCGCGTGGAAGGAGGATGAGGAGGTCGAGGCCTCGCCGTCCGCCGCGCCGCTGGCAGAGGACGCATTAGGCTGTACGAGGTTTTCCTCTCGCACCCCGTCTGTTTTCCTTTTTCCTTTTTTCTCTACAGCACCCTCTCTTTTCCTCTCTATTTCCCCGTGGAAATCGTCAAATTTTTGGCTCTGAGCCGAGTCTGAGGCTGGTTTGGGCCCAAAATCAGCCAAATTTTAGGCCAAATCGTCAAAATGCCGGGAATTTTGCGGAGAACCCGTGTAGACCTGGAAATTACCCTGCGACCGCCTGGGTATTTTGTCGATTCCTCAATTTTGCCTCAGATTTTGCCCCAGACCAGCTCTCAGACTCAGGCAGGCCTCAGGGAAACTCGCGAGTTTCCAGAATGGAGCACCAAACACCCTCTGTTTTCCCTGGAAATTTCCGGCAACGCAAAGTGCTGGGGGCCCTCTGTTTTCCTTTTTGTTTTCCGGAAAACCTCGTACAGGCCAAAGGACGCATCCCCACACATATCCGCTCGGTGGCGCCCCGCCGCGAACACCGTGCTTTTTTTGCCTCAACGGCTCGCTCACTCACTCACGGACGCCTGCCGCCGTGGCGCAGCGCGCGCCAGTCCCCGCTTCAGGACGAGCCAGCGGAGTGAATTCTACTCTCGTGAGGCTGTGAAAGCACGCCCAACCTAGCGGATTTGGGTACTTGCCCCCGAAGGCAAGTGCGTCTGTTCACAGCTCACGAGAGTAAGTAAATTCTTGCGTTGTTTAAATTCTTTCTCGTAGGTATAAGAAAGAAAGAAAGAAAACAGACACGCCAAACGAGGGATGGGACGAGGACAGGGTCCCCACCTGCACGAGCAGGATTTTGGAATATTGTTTAAATCTTTGCGTTGTTGAATTCTTTTCTCTGCCCACAATTGCGAAGGCTCAGCGGGATCTTGCCAAATGCTGGTCGCTGCGCTGACGTCTTCGCCCGCCCTTGTGGCTCCGGCCGTGGCGCCGCTCTTCGCCAAGCCGAAGCTGGCGCTCGCGCCGCACTCCGATCAGTTTATCGAGCTCTCCTCGCTTTGTAAAGAAAGAAAGAAAACGGACAACCCAAGTGAGCAACAACCTTTGTGGGGGGTGCGAATTCTTTTTCACGCGGTGCTGCAGCCGGCCTCGTGCCGCTGACAAGTCGCCGCACTGTGAGGGCGTGCGATGGCGAAGAGCATTCGTTCGAAGGTCAAGAAGCGGCTCCGGTCCGTCAAGCGCACCGTGATCAAGAAGCAGCGGCTCGACCCCGCCTCTAAGCTCGGCGAGGGCGGAGCCAAGGCGCTCGAGATTCTGCAGGACGCCAAGTCCGGCCACCTCCGGCCACGTGTGTGACGCCCGTTTCCTCCCAACCCGGCCCGCAAGACTCCCTGCGCCCGGTGTGCCCACGCCCTCCCTCCACTGCGCGCAGCCAGCACGACGAAGAACGCGTTCCGGTATGACGGCGAGGATGCAGTCATCCCGCAGCACAACTGGAGGCAGGGGCCGGATTTCCGGTCGAGCTATGTCGGCTTCGAGGCGGGCTATGCGCTGGTGGGCGCGTCGCGCCCCAAGCTCGGCCGCCACGGCGGCGACGCTCCCTCCACAGTGGTGGACGCGCCAGCAGACCCGACTGCGGATCGAGGAGTCGCGAGGTTGCATCGCGAGACAGAGCAGGTGCGGCCCCTCCGCCCATGCCCGCACTGCCGCCGTCAGCTCACCACGCGCCGCTCCCCGTGCCGCAGCTTGTGCCAGCCGGCGCTTCGAAACGGCTAAAGCGGAAGCTGAAAAAGAGTGGCGTGGACAATAATGTGTTCCGATGGACGTGAAACGTGGACGACTCGTGCTTGCTTGCTGTGCGCGGTCGGAGGCAGCGCTGCACGCCCTGCGTGCTCTTCGGGACGGGCTCGCCGGGGATCACCAGAGGCGTCGTCGCTCCTCACCCCGGCGGCACGATCCGACAGCGCCTTGGTACGCGTCGCTGCTACGTTGAGTTCAAGAACTTCTCGAAAGGACGTCGCCAGATAGCCCATACGCCAAGCCGAGGCACGGGCAGTTTTGAGACGTCCGGGTCCCCGGCGGCGCCCCTTGCGCATTTAGTACCTTCGGTTGTGATGAAATATTGTGTATTTCTATGAGTTGGCTTCAGTCACAAAGATCACACTAGCCAACATGAGATTTCCCTCTGCTGTATCCGCCCCTCGTCTCCGAAAAGTGCGCGGAGACGGGACGTTTCCCAAAGCCAAACCCCCACACGCGAACCGCTTGACTTGCCAAGGGGCGGGCGCCGGCCGCGGCTCGGGCCACCTAGGGAGAGGCGCCCTGCGCCGCGATGGCGACGATGTCGCCGGCGGTCTGGTAGTCGAAGAGGTACGGGAAGGTGTTTCCGGTCAGGACGGACTGGGTGACAAAGCCGCCAAAGGCGAACATGGCCAGCCGGCCGTTTGCGAGCTCCTTCATCTGGAGGTCCGCCTTCTTGGCCGGGTCGGACGCGAAGCCGAGCGGGTCGAAGCCGTAGTCGCCTGGCTCGCGGCCCGAGCCGCGCAGCATCTGGTCGATCGAGATTGCCGAGAAGACCTCGAGCAGCCCGATCCACAGCAGCAGCTGGCTCATGCCGCCCTGGGCAATGACGGCGTCGTGCGCCTGCGGGGGCGGGGAGGGGCAGGGTGGGCCTCGGGGGTGGGCCTCGGGACCGGGAGGGCGCGGGCTGCGGGCAGCGGTGCTCGGGCGGGAGGGCGCGGGGGCAGCGGGGCGGGGTCTGTCGCGGGGGGGGCGTGGCTGCAGGAGCCTCGAGCGTGGTGTAGTCGAATCCCGGGAAGTGCCAGAAGTCGGTGAAGGCGAAGCCAAACTGAGAGGCGGGTCGGGGGGTCGACGTGAGTTTGCATCCCCCCTCCCCCTCCTTCCCTCCCCTCGCCAGCCCCCGCTCCCCTCCCCCGCCCCTCCCCCCCGCCAGCGCTGCCGCGCCGCCGCCTCCCCCGCCCCTCCGCAGCCGGGAGACGCGCGCCGTCGCCAGCATCGCCGTGCGGCAGTGCTTGATCTCAGCCTCGCGCAGCCACGCCTGCACAGTCACGCGCGCAACGTTTGAGAGCGAAGCCTCCGCCGGAGGGCCGCAAAAGGGCGGCGTCGGCGCACCAGGGGCAGAATCTCGGTGAAACCGAGCGGGTCGAAGCCGACGTCGCCGACGAGGGCGCCCACCGGCCCAAGCGACTCGCGCCGCACCAGGAAGGGCAGCGCCTCGCTGTACACGACCGGCGGCGGCGGCGGCGGGCCCGGGTCGACCTCCTCCGCCTCCTCCGCCTCCTCGGTGGCGGGCGCGGCGGCGGCCTCCTCCATGCGCGCGAAGCGCAGCGCGTCGGAGTGCGGCGCGAGCGCCAGCTTCGGCTTGGCGAAGAGCGGCGCCACGGCCGGAGCCACAAGGGCGGGCGAAGACGTCAGCGCAGCGACCAGCATTTGGCAAGATCCCGCTGAGCCTTCGCAATTGTGGGCAGAGAAAAGAATTCAACAACGCAAAGATTTAAACAATATTCCAAAATCCTGCTCGTGCAGGTGGGGACCCTGTCCTCGTCCCATCCCTCGTTTGGCGTGTCTGTTTTCTTTCTTTCTTTCTTATACCTACGAGAAAGAATTTAAACAACGCAAGAATTTACTTACTCTCGTGAGCTGTGAACAGACGCACTTGCCTTCGGGGGCAAGTACCCAAATCCGCTAGGTTGGGCGTGCTTTCACAGCCTCACGAGAGTAGAATTCACTCCGCTGGCTCGTCCTGAAGCGGGGACTGGCGCGCGCTGCGCCACGGCGGCAGGCGTCCGTGAGTGAGTGAGCGAGCCGTTGAGGCAAAAAAAGCACGGTGTTCGCGGCGGGGCGCCACCGAGCGGATATGTGTGGGGATGCGTCCTCTGCCAGCGGCGCGGCGGACGGCGAGGCCTCGACCTCCTCATCCTCCTTCCACGCGGCCTCCTCCACCACCGCCGCGGCCGGCACTGCCGGCGACGCCTTTCAGGACGCGCTGCTCGCGCGCTTCCACGAATGCCTCGCGCTGGAGCGGCAGGCGGAGCGCGCCGAGGTGGACGCGCTGCACGAGTCGCTCCCGGCCAAGGAGCTCGAGCGGCGCGGCCTCGCGCTGCACCGGCTGCGCATCCTCTCGACCGAGACGGCGCTCTTCGGCCGCGCGCAGCTCACGCTGCAGCTCTCCGGCGCGCGGCCGCTGCCGCCGACGAGGCTCTCGCCCGGCGCGATGGCGACGCTCCGTCCGGCGGCGGCGGCGGCGGCTGCCGGCTCGACGTGCACCATCACCGCACTGCGCGCGAGCACGCTCACCGTCACGTTTGAGGAGCTGCCCGGCGAGGAGGAGCTCGCCGAGCCGCTCACGCTCTCGCTCCTCCACAACGACGTCACCTACCGCCGGCTCGACGCGGCGCTCTCCGCGCTGCGGGCGGGCAGGCTGCCGCCCGCCTCCGCGCCGCTCTGCCGCGCGCTCCTCGACGGCGACGACGGCGCCGCGCTGAGCTGCGGCCCCGCCCTCGGTGCGACCGAGCCGCTGCCGGCGGATCAGCTCGTCAACCGGGGCCTGAACGCGGGCCAGCGCCTCGCCGTCCAGTTCGCCCTGGAGCGGAGCCGGCCGGCGGGCCCTCGCGCGCCGGCGGGCAGCCCTCTCCAGAGCCACTGGCCCGTGACGCGTCCGGGACTGTCTCGTGCAGGTGGCCCTCATCCACGGGCCTCCCGGCACCGGCAAGACGACGGCGGTGGTGGAGCTGATCCGGCAGGCGGTGGCGCGCGGCGAGCGGGTCTCCGCCTCGGCCCGCCTCCTCCCGTTTCTCGCCCCTCGCTGACCCCTCTCGGAGCCCTTCCTGGCAGGTGCTCGCCTCGGCCGCCTCGAACGTCGCCGTCGACAACATGGCCGAGCGGCTGCTGAGCGGAGAGGCAGGTGGCAAGCCGCTCCGGGTCGTGCGCGTCGGCCACCCGGCGCGGCTGCCGCCCTCGGCGCCCTCCGTGAAGACCGGCCCTTCACGGCTGCGCCTGTGAAAAGGCGAGGCTGCTGCCTTCGGTGCTCGGCGCGTCGCTCGACGCCCGCCTCGCCGTCTCGGACGGCGCCGCCATCGTCCGCGACGTCAAGGGCGAGCTGTCTGCGGCGCGCACCCAGCTGCGGCGCGAAGGCAGGCGCGCTCGCGCCGCTCTCAAGGCGGAGGTGTCGACGCTCCGCCGCGAGCTGGCCGAGCGGCAGAGGCGATCCGTGAGGCAGCTGCTCGAGGCGAGCCAGGTGGTGCTGTGCACAAACACGGGCGCCGCCGGCCGACGTCGCTCGGCTGCCTGCGGAGGAGCGAGTCTCGAGCCGTTCGTGGTGCATCAGGCGCCGCCGACCGCGCGCTCTCCTGCCTGCCGCCCGAGCACGCCTTCGACCTCGTCGTCATCGACGAGGCGGCGCACCCGCTCTGAGGCGCCGCTGCCGGGCCGTGTCCGTGACGTGTCGTGGACGTGTCCCACAGGCGGCGCAGGCGCTCGAGGCGTCCTGCTGGGTGGCGCTGCTGCGCGGCCGGCGCGCGGTCCTCGCCGGCGATTTGCACAGCCGCCCTCCCGTCGCCGTCAGACTTCCACGACACGTGAGCTGTCCCGGGCATGTCCCGCAGGCGACCACCAGCAGCTTCCGCCCGTCGTCAAGTCGGAGGAGGCGGGCAGGAGGGGCTTCGGCGTCACGCTCTTCGAGCGGCTCCTCCGCGGCCCGCACGGAGCGGGGCTCGGCGTGATGCTCACCACGCAGTACCGGATGCACGCGGCCGTGTGCGCGTGGGCGTCGGACGAGCTGTATGGCGGGCGGATCGTTGACGCACGGCTCGCGCGAGATGACGCGAGATGACGCCGAGGTTTCCGAGATGGTAGGCGGGCGGCTGGTCGCGGACGGCTCGGTCGCAGAGCACCGTCTGTGTGACCTCTCGCACGTCGACCCGACGGACGAGACGGAGGCGCCGCTCGTGCTCTTCGCTGATCGATGCCGTTCTGAGTGACGCAATTGCCATTGGCTACCAATTGCTACTGGCTAGGCGCCGCTCATGCTCATCGATACCGCGGGCTGTGATTGCGAGGAGGACGAGGGCGAGGGAGGCGGCGGCGCGAACGGCGGAGGCACCAAGCGCCCCAGCGCCTCACCGCTCGTGGCGGAGTCGAAGAGCAACACGGCCGAGGCCCGCGTGGTCGGCCAGCACGTCCGCGCGCTGCTTGCTGCCGGGCTGCGGCACGGCGAGATCGGCGTCATCACGCCGTACAACGCGCAGGTGCGAGGCGCGGGGCGAGGGGCCCTCGAGGGGCGCGTCGCACGACCTCCCCGGAGCCGTTTCTTCTAGGTCGAGGCGCTTCGCGAGGAGCTCGCGGCGGAGCGCGCCGTGCCGTCGGCCACGGGCGAGGGGTCCGCGCTCGAGGTGGGGACGGTGGACGGCTTCCAGGGGCGCGAGAAGGAGGCGATCGTCATCTCGCTGGTGCGCTCGAACGCGCAGCGCGTCGTCGGCTTCCTCTCGGAGAACCGCCGGATGAACGTGGCAATCACGCGCGGCCGGCGCCACGTCTGCCTTGTGGGAGACTCGGACACGGTCTCCGCCACGCCCTTCCTCGCGCGAATGCTGCGCTACTTCGAGGAGCACGCCGACGTGCGCTCGGCAGCCCAGTACGGCGCGGACGCCGCCTCGGGCGGCCGACACGCGCCCTCCGCCAAGCTGGCCGGCGCCCGCCCTCCGGCCAAGGAGCTGCTGACCGAGTCGCAGGCGGAGGCGAAGCTGCGCGCGCGCCTGCAGAGCTTCCTGGCGGACGCGTCGCAGCGCTCGCACGCGCTCCCGGCCTCGCTCAATTCGTTCGAGCGCATGGTGGCGCACCGGCTTGCCGCGGAGCTCGGCCTCGAGCACGTCTCGACCGGGGAGGGCAAGCAGCGCTTCGTCACGCTCTACAAGGAGGGCGCGGCGCCGCCGACGGGCGCGGCGGGGGCGGCGGAGGAGCCGCGACAGGGTGCGGCGGCAGTGCGGGGGGGAGAGGCGGAGGTCGAGGCGCTCGCAGCGGCAGCGGACGGCGAGGCGCGCGGCGCGCCGTCCGAGCCATCCGCCGCCGCGCCGGCCGCCGCCGCTGCCCCCGCCGCCCCCCCTCCGCCGCTCTCGACGGCGCCGATGGACGAGGTGCAGCAGCAGCTGGCCTCGCGGGTCCGGGAGCTCTTCACGCAGCTGGCCGCGGCGGGCATGCCGCCAAACGAGGCCGCGGCGCAGGCGATGGTCGCCGCGCAGTCGGAGGCGGCCAAGGCGGAGGCGGCCAAGGCGGAGGCGGCCAAGGCGGAGGCGGCCAAGGCGGAGGCGGCCAAGGCGGAGGCGGCCAAGGCGGAGGCGGCCAAGGCGGAGGCGGCCAAGGCGGAGGCGGCCAAGGCGGAGGCGGCCAAGGCGGAGGCGGCCAAGGCGGAGGCGGCCAAGGCGGAGGCGGCCAAGGCGGAGGCGGCCAAGGAGGAGGCTGCGGGCAGGCCGGCGGGGGGCAGGCCGGCGAGGCCGACCAAGGCGCCGCAGGCAGCGGACGCGAGGGCGGCGGCAGCGCGGGCCGCGACGGCCCGAGCGGCGATTTCGCGAGCGGCGCAGTCGGACGGCGATGGGGCGGCAGCAGCCGCGGCGGCCGCAGCAGCCGCGGCGAGGGCGGCCGCACAGGCGGAGAGCAACGACGCGCTGCGCGAGGCGGCATTGGCGAGGGAGGCGCGGCAGTGCGAGGCGGAGGCGGAGAGGCAGGCGGCCGACGAGGCGGTGCGGCGGGCGATGCGCGAGGAGGAGGAGCAGCGGCGCAAGCAGCTCGCGCGTGCGAAGAAGGAGCGCCGCAAGCAGAGGAAGGGCGCAGAGGACGCTGGAGGCGGCGGCGACGACGATGACGATGTGGACGCGGCGCTCGCCGCCCTTGGGCTGGCGCCGAATGGCGCGAGCGCAGCCGAGCCTATGGCCAATCCGACGGCGCCATCCGCGCTGCCGTGGGGCCGCGACCGCGAGACCGAGCGCGAGCGAGAGCGCCTCCAGGCAAGGCTGCGCCAGAAGCTCGCGACTGGCGACGGGTCGCACCAGAAGCGGCAGCAGAAGAAGAAGTGAACGTGTTTATCTTTTTATGAGACAAACAAGCGTCGCTCGAAGTCGAACCGCGCGCAACACAGAACCAAGCAAGCAAATGTGCGGAACAATAAATATCACAAAAAGGTACACGGCTCACACGGAGAGTGTGTCTTTTGCATTCCTCTGTTTCCCCTCACACGCCCGTCGCGCGGCCGCCCTCTGCCAATGCCTTCGGCGCGCCGGCTGCGCCGCTCCCGAACGCGCCGCCTCCGTACCTGGCCGCATAGGCGCTGGAGGTGGGGTCCACGTGCGACGCCTCTGGCTGGTCCATCAGCTGAATCCCCTGCCCTGCCCTGCCCCGGCGGCAGCAGCACCTCCTGCACGCGAGCAGGAATGCCGCGA